AATTCAAAATATATTAAATATATTAAATTTTAATAAAAAAAATTAAATTTTTTAAAAACATGGTTTGAATCACGTTTCAAACAAACTAAGATTCTTTCACATTGCGAGTATTTTTAATGCTGTAGCATGTGTAAATTATGCGTAACTGAGGTTGTGGTACAATTTGTTGGGTTCTTTTGCAGCCATTCTTATCTGGCCATTTCTCAGCTCATGCTTTACATTGGAACTTGTCTGGTATTGTGTTTTAAATAAGAGTTGGATAAATTTTAATTTTTTTAATTTAAAATTTAATTTTTTTATATTTATTATTATTATTATTATGATGTGTTGATATCAAAAATAATTTTAAAAAATAAAAAATATATATTATTTTGATATATTTTCAAATAATTTTTTTAAAAATAATTATTATAATATTTTCAAACATTCCTTTAAAATATAAAAATATATTTAAGAGTGGTTCAGTTCATGCTCGCAAAGTTCGGCCTAACTTGGCTTCTGTTAGTAAACTCAATGACTTATTATCTCGAGGTGTGATTTTAGCTAAGTTTTATATCAGATTGTTTTTATATTAAAATAATATTATTTTAATTTAAAAAAAATTATAAAATGATAGGTTGTCTTGAGGTTTTTTTAAAAATTAAAATTAAAACTAATCTATTAACTCAAAAATTAACATAGTAAATTCACACCCCTGGCCTTGACTCAGGTGCATCTTCAACTATGGCTCGGTTTTCAGCATAAATACAATAAATACAAATATCAAAAAAAAAACTTTATTAAAATTAATAGGAGATGCAGCTAATTTCAAACTTTCTCCTTGTGATGGAATTATAACTATACTAAATGACATCGAGTAAATAATGGTCTGCTTATAAAATAAATATATTTGATAGTATTATAATTATGAAGTAATATTAGATAAGTAATATAAATTAAAAATATGATGAAACTAATATTTTATAACAAAAAAAAAGATTGTGTTGATAATAAAAAACTTAGAAACTAAATAGAATAATTTGTGAAAAATATAATATTTTTGCAACATGATTTAGTTTTTCTGTTAAGAAAAGACAAAAAAAATCATAAAGCTGAATTTCCTATCAACTTAATATTAAAAAAAAATTGACAGAGATAATTTTGAAGAAAAAAAACCCCTAAGATAAAACATTATAGCAATTGATAATATTTTATAAAGAAAACTATAGTTTTTTTTTCAATACAATCAACAAAGATAATTTGAAAATGAATCATTAAGAAAATCATTCAGAAAAATATTACAACAATTTACAGTGTTTTGTGAGGAAAACAACAACTCTTTCCTCGTATGATTTAGTTTTATTGTAATTATAATTTTTAACTAACTCAATATTAAAAAAAAATTGACAAAGATAATCTTAGAAAAAATTATAAAACAAATCATA